GCTTTAAATATATTCTGAAAAAGAATCTAAGCTTCTTTTTTGTGAAATTTGTAGTACTCAATAGTATTATAGAGGATTTGTATTAGTATATATGTTGATAAGTTTTTGGTAGTAGTGAAGTTAAGATTTAAGAGTAGTTTGTTTTGAGTAATAATATTATCAAGTCATTGAGTAAATATCTTTGTTAAATATTTTTTAAGAGGTTAAAGAATTGAAATAGGTTGAACTTGATTTAAAGTATAGTTCCAAGTAGATTTTTTTAGTATTAAGAAAATATTAGAAGTTTTCTAAGCAGTTAGAACTTTTTGAAGTTAAAGATAATGACTAATAAAAGATCTTAAGATATACTGAGTCTTGGAGTCAGTATATTTAATATGTTTATAACTGGTTTCTAAGAGATCAGTTGCTTTTTGTAAAGAGAGATTTTTGATAACTGAAGTCTATTTCTCTTCAGAGATTTTAGAAAGAAGATTTTGAAAGTATTTTTCATTCTCTAGATATGGCTTATAATACTTGTAATAATCTGATATTAGAGAGATTTGTGAGAGTAGTTTTTCATTGAAATAATCTGTAAAATAAGAGTGAATTGCTTGTTGAACTTGTTGTTGTTCTGTAAGCAAAATATTATTATTAATATTTAGTTTATCAATATTAATATTATTAAATTTTTTAAGAATATTTTGGTAAAAAATTTTTGGTGAATTTTTAAAAGTTTGATTTTGTTCTTTAATTTTTTGTTAAATTTCTTTTTGTGTTTGTTGTTTTTGTTGCATATTTAATGCATTTTTAATTTGTTGAAATTTAGATTTGATAGCAGAAAAAGTAGATAAGAAGTTGTAGAATTGATTATTTGAATATTGTTTATGATAGTTTTTAATGAGTTGGTTATAGTTTTTATGATTATAATAATTTTTAAGAAATTGAATTTGCTTAAATTAGTAGTATAATGGAGAAAGTTTGGTGTTAGTTTGTTCTTTAATTTTATGAATAGTTTTAATTTTTCTATATAGAATATGTTTAGTAGAAGCTTTAGTTAGAGCTTTATATATTTTGTTCTATATTAAGTTAAGTTGATTTTGTAATTTATATTGGATAGTTGATGTTGAAGTTGTTATAGACTTTGAGAAGTTTGTAATGCATATTTTTCAAGTTGTTCTTTGTTGCATTTTTCTAAAGAAAACTTTTTCTAGTTTTTTGTTTAGTTAGTAAAGTTTAATTAATTTAAATTGTTAGTTCAAGTATTATAAGTTAGGATCTGATTTAAATTGGAGTTCAGATTAGTGATTTGAATCAGTTGAGCTATAATTGGTTAACTGATTCAAATAGAATAAATTTCAGGTAATCAGTTGAGTAAAATTTTAATTAGTTAACTTGTACAACTAGTTGAGTATTAGTAATTAGTTGACAGGATATAAATAATATCAAGAAAGAACAAAGAGTCCAAGAACTTCTGAAAAGAAAATGAATAAATATAAAAATTTTAGTAAAGGTCTGAGAACTTATAAAGGTAAAGTGTAAAGTAATCTTAATCAGTTGCAATCAGTTAATATTAAATATTTCAGTTCAGTTACTTGACTAAAGAATTTTTTCTCAGTTCATATTACTAGTTTAGATATTATATTTGTATAATCAATTAGTGCAGTACTAATATTAGTTCAGATATGATCAATTCTGCTTTGAGAGTTTCCTTTTAAGAAGATATATTTAGTTTCTTTAAGAAAGAATAAGTGAAAAGTATCTTTGTATTGTTAGCTTATTAGAAACTTAATAAGTTGTAATTCTGAAATCAAGAATTTTTTAGAAAGGAGTCTATTTAAGTAGAGATTTGGTATGCTGTTAAGATTGTCTATAACAATAATTTTATATATTATGTTTAAATATAATTTAATTATTTCTTTCTAGATTTCTTTTCGAAGTTGTTTTTTCTTAGCTATTAGTAAGTAAATTTGAAGAAGTTAAATAGAATTATTTTTAAAATAAAAATCAATACTAATAATATAACTATTGAAGTTATGTGTTTAAGCAATATATTTAGATATAAATTAGTATATGAAGATTTCAGCATCTGCTTATCAAGAGTTAGTATAAGAGCTTCAGAAGCTAGTATAGAAAGATATTTCTTTGTTAAGAAATTTGTCTTCTTTTGCTGACAAATATGTTTCTGAAATTCTAAATATATTATAGTAACTTTGATTAATTATATTTAATAATAAGAGTTGTTTATAAGAAGATGATAGTCTATTAATATTAATTGAAGCAATATTTAAGTTTAGGTAAATATTTTCAATAGTATTATTAGTAGTTATATTAGTACAAATTAGAGAATAGTAGTAGTTAGAAAATTAAGAAGGTTTAAGAATTGTATGATTAATTAATTTAGTTTCATAAAATTGTAATAAATATAAGTTTTTGTTAATATATGATTTATAGAAATATAAAATGGTTAAGAGAATGAATGATTAGATAGATGTATTAGAAAAGAGTCTAAAAATTCATTTTTTTTAAAAAGTAGTAGGTTATATTATATAAGAAATAAATTATAGCAGATGAAAGAATTGTTTAAAAAGATATTTTGTTAGAATTAATAAAAGTATTTATGTTTGTAGCCTTGTATATATTTAATGATTTGAATGATATTATAAATACATATTTGAGTTAGAATCTCCTAAGTCACTTGCTATATTCTTAGCTCTTACAGATATAGAGAATACCAAAGTTTGCTCTGTATGTTAAGTCTAACTATTATAAACTTAGTTCTTTATGTAAATAGGCTTTACTGCTTATCTACTTACTTACTAAATATAATAGATATATTTTTTAATAAGGTAGTAGCTGCATTTATATATTTAGGAGATTTAGTTATTAAAAAGAATTTTCTAAAAAAAAGAGTGAGTCTTCTAATAAAACAGGTTCTGTAAATTCTATATTAAATTTTTTAAAGAGAAAGTTTTTAGCTTCAGAGAGAGCTTGTTTTTTGTAGTGTTTGATAATTTGTGATAGAGATAACTGTTGATCTTTAATAATATTGAAATAAGTAATTATTCAAGCAAAAAAGTATGTATCAATTATATTTGCTGTAATATATTCAATTGCTTTCTCTTTAGAAAGGCTAGCAATATTGTGATTTTTAGCTGCAATATGATGATAAGTATTCAATTATTAGTAGAAGTAGTAACTTCAGTATTTTTGGTTTTTTGGTTTTTTGGAACTTTGTTTTGTTTGCAAATATAGTCCTTTGCTTGGTTAGTAAATTCATCAGAAGTTTTGTAGGTATAGGTTTTGCAAAATTTGCTTCATATTTGCTGTTAATTTCGAAGATTTTGAAGTTAATTGTTGGTATTTTCCAAATTTTACTCTCTTTTTTTGAAAATTCATTATAAGATCATCTAAGATATAATTTAAACAAAGCTAAGAAGTTATGTTTGTTTTCATGATTATATGAACAATCTTTAGAATTGCAACTTATTATATGAAAGTTAGAGAAACAAATAACTTCTGTTTATCTTTTAGAACTATTGAGAAGTTCTTGAAAGTCAGTTTCAGTTAGAAGGAATTTTTTAAGTTAAATAACAAATTGTTATCAAATATAGTCTTTTAGAGTATTATAAACTTTTTGCTAATTTAATAGCTCTGCAAATTAGTAGTTATATATAAGGAAAAAATTTTCAAATATTCATTAAAGTTTTCAAGTGAGTTTTTGAGAGATGGTATATTATAAACTTGTAGGAAGAGAGATTTCGTATGTTGAAGAGAAGTTGAATATTAAATTTTATATCAGATTTGATAGTTAGATATTTCTCTTCTTTGTCTGTAGATATTGTTGTAGAATTAATAGTAAAGTATTTGAAGATAAAGTTAAAGTCTTCAGCAAATTTTTTATAAATGATTGCATAGTAATTTTCAGATAGATAAAGATGAATTCAAGCTAAGTTTATACAGAATTATATTTGATTTTTTGTTTTGTAAAGAAGAATTGTTAGTTCTGAAGCAAAGATTTTACTATAATTCAGTTTAGTAAATAAAATAGTTGTAAATTTGTAAATTAGTTTTTTCAAAGTATTTTCAAGAATATTGAATAGAATAGTTACATTTAAGTCAATATTTGGATTAATTTGAAAATAAAATCTGTTAAAATCTTTTAATATTTAAATATATTAAATATAATGTATTTTGCAAGGATCTAAGCTAATTTAAGTAAATAGATCTGTAATATACTAGCAGTTAGATATTGTAGTAATAATAAGATTTGATCTGTATAGATTAATAAACAAAATATTTAAATAAGTAACTTACAGACAAGTTATAAATATAATAGTATAGTAAAAAATAATTAGATAATCTAATCACCTGTATAGTAGACTACTTAAAATAGACAATAACTAAAATTATATATGTAACTTGTTATATACTCTTTATATAATTATAAATAGTAAGAATTATTAATATATAATTCTATATACAAAACTAATAAAATCTTTTTAGCAATATAAGCTACTTTAACAACAAAAAAAATTACTAATTTTTATATAGTAAACTAATTTAAATAGATAGTTTTCTTTTTACTATAACTTTTTTTTTTCTATATAATAATTTAGTTAAAATTTTACAAGTTTATACAATAAGGTTACACTAAAATATTTGCATAATACTAAAAAATACTTAATTATAATTGGTTAATTTATAAATATATCAAAAAATTTTAATTTTTTAATTTTTTTTAAAAAATTAACAAACTTTGATAAAAACGTAAAATATAAATATAAAAGAATTTTATATAAAAACATAAAAAATAAACAAATTCTACTAATAAATCTTTTAAAATTAGTGAATTAGAGTTAACATACACCGTAATGAATATTTTCGAATTATTAATAATTAGTAAATTAGAGTTAACACATTAATACATTATTGGATTTAAATATTATTAATTATTAAAACTTATATAATAAAAGCGAAACAAGTAAAAATTATAACTTATAGTTATATTGTGTTTCTAATAATTAAGTATTAAGCACAGTATTTAAAAACTTTTTGATAGCATTTAAAAGAAATTCTTTGAAATATTGCTTTATATAGAATAAAATGTATACAAATAAATAACACAAGATATCCTTACAATAAAGTTCAATAATAAATATATATAAACTGTGTTAGCCATTAGAAGCATTCTTTATTTCCAATGATTTATTATAATCTGCGAATGCTTCATCATATCTATTCAGCGTGTAATAAGTTAATCCACGATTAAATAATATGTCTGCATTATTTGGATCTATTTCTAATGATTTATTAAAATCTACAAGAGCTTCTTCATATCTATCTATCTTGCAATAAGTTAATCCACGATTGTTTAATGTTTTTGCATTATTCGGGTTTATGCTCAATGATTTATTGTAATCAACAAGTGCTAGTTGATATCTATTCATCTTACAATAAGTTAACCCACGATTATCTAATGCATTTAAATTATAAGGATCTATTTCTAATGATTTGTTGTAATCAGCAAGTGCTTCATTGTATTTTCCCATTTTGTTATAAGTTAACCCACGATTATAAAATGTATTTGCATTGTTTGGCTTTATTTTTATTGATTCATTATAGTCCATAAGTGCATTTTCATATTTACCCATCTTGTAATATATTGACCCTCGATTATTTAATGAATTAGCATTGTTAAATTCTATTTTTAATGATTCATTGAAATCTGCGAGTGCTTCTTCGTATCTCTCTGTTTTACAGTAAGTTAATCCACGATTATAAAACGTACTTGCATTATTTATATTTATTTCCAATGATTTAGTATAATCTGTTATTGCTTCATCATATTTATCTATATTACAATAAGTTAATCCACGATTATTTAATGTATTTGCGTTGTTCGGTTCTATTTCCAATGATTTACTGTAATCTTGAAGTGCCTCTTTAAATTTACGCATACTAGTATAAGTTAATCCACGATTATAAAATATATTCGCATTATTTTGATCAATTTCCAATACTTTATTATAATCAGTAAGCGCCTCTTTATATCTACCAATCTTATAATAAATTGACCCACGATTATTTAATGCATTGATATTACTTGATTCTATTTCCAAAGATTTACAGTAATCTGAAAGTGCTTCTTTATGCTGGCCCATGTTATCATAAGCTAATCCGCGATTATAAATCGTGTTTGCATTATTTGGTTCTATTTCCAATGATTTATTATAATCCCCGATTGCTTCTTTATATTTGCATATATTATTATAAGTTATTCCTCGATTATTTAATGTATTTGCATTAACTGGTTCTATTTTCAGTGCCTTCTTATAATCCAAAAGTGCATCATTACATCTACCCATCTTTTCGTAAGTTAATCCACGGTTATTTAGTGTATTTGAATGATTTGGCCTTATTTTTAATGATTTACTGTAATCTGAAAGTGCTTCTTCATATTTACCTATACTATCATAAGTTGATCCACGACAACTTAGCGCATTTGCATTATTTGGATATATTTCCAATGATCTATCGAAATCTGCAAGTGCTTCTTTATATTTATCCATTTTATAATAAGTTAATCCACGATTATAAAATGTATTTGCATTATTTGGTTCTATTTCTAATGATTTATTGTAATCAGCAAGCGCTTCTTTATATCTACCAAGCTTTTTATAAATTAATCCTCGACCATTTAAAGTATTTACATGATTTGGGTTTATTTTTAACGACACGTTGCAGTATTCAAGGGTTTCAATATCATCATAAGATGATCCATAAAATGGTTTACTAAAATCTGAAAGTAGTTTCTCATGTCTATCTATCTTGTAATAAGATTTATTACAAGTTACAGATGAATTTTCATATTGTCCCATCTTTTTGCAAGTTAATTTTCGATTATACAAAGCATTTGTATTATGAGGATCTATTTCTAATGATTTATCAAAATCGTCAAGTGCTTTTTTATATCTTCCCATCATAAAATAAACTGATCCTCGATTATTTAGTGTATCTGCGGTATATAGTTTTAGTCCTAGTAATTTATTAAAATTTACAAGCGCCTCCTCATATCTATTCATTTTATAATAAATTAATCCTCGATTGTTTAATATATCTGCATCATATGGATCGATTTCTAATAACTTGTTGTAATCTGCAAGTGCTTCTTCATATCTGCCCATTTTGTCATAAATTGATCCACGTTTATTTAAAATATTTGAATCATTCGGATCTATTTCTAATGATTTAGTATAATCAGCAAGCGCCTCGTTATATTTTCCTAATAGTTTATAAGTTGTTCCACGATTATTTAATATATAATTATTTAATTCGATTTCTAATGATTTATCGAAATCTTCAAGTGCTTTTTTGTATTTACATTGATTATAATAAATTAATCCACGATTATTTAATGTAATTATATTACTTGGATCTATTTCTAACGATTTATTAAAATCGGTAAACGCCAGGTCATATCTGCTTGTCTTATAATAAATTAATCCTCGATTATTTAATGTATTTGCATTATTCGGTTCTATTTTCAATGATTTATTATAATCTTCAAGTGCTTCATCATATTTTCTTATTTTATAATAAATTAATCCACGATTATGAAATATATTTGCATTATTTGAATCTAATTCTAATAATTTATTAAAATCTGAAAGTGCATCTTCATATTTCCCTATTTCATCAAATATTAAAGTTCTATATGTATAGGCTAAAGGTTTTAATGACTTTAATTGAATTACTGTTTCTAGATCTTCTAAAGCTTGCAAATATAATCCAAGTTTCCAAGATGCGAATGCTCTTCTACATTGAACAGAATAACTTTTTGGATAAAATTGCAAAACTTGAGTTAACCATATTATAGTCGCCGCATAATCATTTTGTTGTTCTGCTTTAGCTGCTTTATTGAAGGCTGGATGTAAAGTTTTTGGACAAGTTTTTCGTGAAATTGAGATAGGTAATTTTGATGATAAATGAATTCTACACATATGCATTTTATTCGTCTTTAAAAATAAGCCATCATCCATTAAACAATTCTTATGTGTTAATATTTCCCGTTTTTCTAATCCTGCTTCTTTTAATCTTCCGTGAAGACTTTTTACTATTGCATTTTGCATAAGATTATAAAGTGATTTTTGATTTATTTCAGTTCTACAAAATGGACATTCGAATAATTTATTCTCAAGTGCAGATATTTTTTTCCACTTGTCAATGGCATGATAGCTAACAGAATAGCCACAGCATGCTAGAATCAAAAAATCGTCAGTTATTTGTCCGGTAATTGGGCAAGTAAAATTTTCAGAAATTATTTCTAATAAAGAGAACAAATTTTTATCCGGTAAATTATTTTTAACTACTGATTTTTCTTTGTTATTAACTATATTTAATTGTTCGATAAATTCATTATCTAATTTAATCTTTTTATTTATATCACGAATTAAATTTTTAAAATTTTGTCGAGCATCTATCGGTAATGCTTCAATAAATTTTTCTATTTCTTCTTGTACCATATATTCAAACCAATCAGGTTCTCGAAAAGATAACGATAAGAGTAACTCTAAAGATTTGAATTGAATGAAATAGTTTTGGGATTTTTGTAACGATTCTAGACCTAAATAATAACAAAGAGCTAAACTGGTAGGTTGAATTGTTTTATAGCTTAAGTTTTGGGCAAGATCTAATACTCCAAACCATAACATGTTCGGTAGAGTAGTTGGTTCATCACTGATCCATAAACTGGAAAATTTACTCTGGTCATTAAGGATTGCTAAAATATCAATATTAGTTGATTGCTTATAGCTCTCATTAAAAGTATGTTGCCAAAGAGATTCAAGAAGATAAGCCTCGTTATAAAATTGTAAGATATTAAAATTTACGTCTTGAGCTAAAGTTTTTAATGAATAATGTACAATTAGAAGTTCACGCCATGTGGGATACCAGTAATCGACAGGACATTTAATCCTAAGAAAATTAATAAATCTTGGCATGGTACCACTAACAAAAAGTTCACCAAGTGCAACTGGGATGTTTCTGGAAGTGTTTGATATTCTAGGAGTGGCCCTAATAAGTTCTATAAGGCCTTCTTTGACACATCTTAAAAATTCATCAAAATAAAATTCATCATCACGTATAAAGTTCAAAGTATCACGCAAGTGGAATAATAAAAAGTTAATATTATAATTTGGAAATATTATATCAGTATCATTAGTGCTGTCAATCTCTCCAGGTTTATAGCTATGATCATTCTTCTGACTAAAAACCATAGTTATTTGGTAATGAATATTAATAAATCTATCCAAATTACTGCGAAGTTTTTCACGGATTTCACGGGTCAATACAGTAGGAGAATAAACCACTTTTTCTAAAACAGCAAACCAAGTTCGGAGGCGTAATTCTAAATGCGGAATAGTATTACCTATATAGCATTCAAATGAAGAAGAATCGCTAAGCAATAAGAGAGCATCAACTAATAATTTTGTAGGAAATTTTATTTCAGGATCTTCAACTAAAAGTTTGAATCCAATTAAGTTTGATGGTTCATTAAAATTTTTCATGAACCTTTTAGCATAATCAATAATTGCTCTTTGATCATCTATTATAATATTACTTTTACTATGAATAGCAAAAGAAGAGTTATTTGAAGGTCTTTCCTTAATATTCAATAAAATATTTAAATATTTAGTAACAGACATAAGAAATATCAACAAATGATATAAATAAATAATCTTACATTTGAAAAATTTGAACTAGGAATTCCATAACTTTCCTCCATTAATAATAATTTTATGAAATTTTTTTTTGGATCTTCGTAATATTTGTTAAAGCGAGAATGTTTTCTTATATATGTAATACGTATTTTTAATTACTAAGATTTTTTCAATGCATCGAATCTGCGTTACATAATTAAACTTGGTGTATTGTTTACTGTGATACATACATTTTAAAGAATGTACATTTAAAGGCAATTTGTGTGACTAAGATTAGACAATGATCAAATACAAACAAATTCTAATTCTAGAATCTCGGTACCTTCTTAGTTAAATGGTCTGGTTCGTCGATAATCGAAAATATTGACTTATCAGATAATTTGCGTAACTAAATGCTCGGCCCGAGATAGTTCAGGAGAACTGTCTGTTATACAAAAGTTGGAATATTTGGAATCTAGGAATCTACATGTTTATTTGCCAATCAATTTGGGATTGAAATTAATGTTAATGCTAAGTGATGGTACATCACGTGATCGAAAAAGGAAGAGACGTTTCGTGAATGCCACACCAACCGATACAGTAAAATGGCGTGGGAAGTCCAAATGCAAACTGACGCAATAGCACATGCCAATGACACAATCAAAGGCGTCATAACGAAGGGCGTGTGAATAGTATAAAGGTTACCTATCGCGAACAGTGCAGGTTTTTCCAAAAAATTAATTTCCCAACCCGTTCCAAACTGATACAAACCAAAATTAATTATTAATGCGATACGTGTTTTAAATAGGATTTCAAATTTACCGGCTCACTATCCTTGAAATTTCCGGATTTTTAAAAATTCCGTCGTTCCGTTTTTTTTTTTTTTTTTACAGCTGTTTTCATAAATTCTGAGACATCTGGCAAAAAATGGTCCGAACAAATATTGCCGGTTCGATAAGTTTGTGATTCGGCAGTGATAAACTTTTGAT